TGCTTTTACCTTGTATACAGTTCTTTTTCTGCATTGGAAAGAAATATCAGTGGAGCAAAATTCTTGTTTCAGATATGCTGCACTGAATAACTGCGCCTAAGAATATGTCATGATCTCAGCTGTAAAATAGGTTGTATTGTTCTTCTTCTGTCTATAGTGAACACAGTTTGGAGCCTCCCTGTGCCGAAGGACACTTGCCAACCTGACAGCTGGGTACAGTTGATAGTTGCCTTCAGTCTGGTTAATAGGATCTTGTTTTCCAGATTAGGAAATTAGTTATATCAAGGGCCCTACTTCCAAATGGGGCAAGAGGCTTAAGCTTCAGGAAAGGATGGGCTACTCCTGTGTTTCATGTAATGAGCAGGAGAAAAAGGGATGCACTCTGACAGCAGCTGAAATCCGACATGATCATTCTTAGCTTTTTACTAGAATCATTCATGTTATCAGTATAGAAAGCATTTCATCTGCGTAGGCTGGCTCTCTGATCTCCTGATGTGGGTTGCTAGATACAGAGACGCCTCAGACAAGTAATGCTGCAAAAAATACGGCCGTGTTTTGCTGGGTTTGTGAATGACTACTGTTAATCATTTGACTTCTTGTTCTTACGAGGTGGGACTGTGTGAAGGGGAAGCACTGAAGCACAAGGCTCTCCATGTCTTAAGTCCTTAATTTAAGTCCTCTGAGTTGTTTGAAACCATTCCTGGTGAGGTCAGTGGCAAAACTTTTCTTTTGTCAGTTCAGGATTAGACCTAAACCCTGCACCCATTTTGACAGAAGAAATCTGAGAACATATTATTTCTCTTCCTAAATGTCAAGTTTTAAAAGGGGATGAGTTGGGGGGAGGGTTGTGCGTTGCTTGCTGTGAACTGAATTTTTTTCTGCAGGAAGTTGCTTTTCTTCAAGGCCAAAGATAAATAGTGAAATGCTAGAAATTCCCTAGGCCCTGCCTTTCAGCTGTCTAATTGTGTTCTTTGCAGAGATGCTTAAGACTCTTTGCTATGTGCAGTGTTGCTTTAAATTGTCAGTTTGTTGAGTAACCTTTTTTACACTGGTAATATGATAAAAGGGGGTCACTGTTGAAACTAGTAGCGCATTATTTTAGGCTTGATCCAAGAAGATACTTCATTTTTTCACAGTGTTGTCTGCCCATGGAGTGCCGTGCCACAGGACACCATGCTGAAGAGAAGCTCAGCTGCATAGAAAGCAGTCTGGATAGTTCCATCACAAAAAATTTTTATATTATCCTGATAGGATGCATGTAATGAAACCTCATGATGTTTCAGGGCAGTAGCTTTTCCCATAGGATCCAATATATGACACTAAAAATAGATTTAACTCTCTTTTTTTTGTTACGGGAGAAGTAATTTCGCTTTTATCTTGATGAATTACATGGCTAGTAATCTGATCAGAGTAGATCTTCAATTAAAAACGCTACAGAGAAGCTGGCAAGCAGAAATGACTGCTCAGCTCCCCCCTTTTATTTCATTTGATGTCACTTTCCTGTCAGGTCCTTTCCCCAGTTAATTTTCTTCAGCTGCATTCCTCTGCAAGTAGCAAGTCCTTTGGCTGTAAAATTAAAATAGAGGAGGAGAAAGGCAGCAATGTCTGAATCATTTTCAAAAGTCATCTTGATCTTATCTCCAGCCCTTTCCGCCCAAACCCACCAAACTCTCTACTGAGCTCTGTGCCTATAAATAGAACAGCCGCTCTCGTGCAGAGATGGGCAGCTCTGAACCAGAGGCTTGTTTTCTCTGAGCAGTGCGTGCATGCGAGAGCTCGCTTCTCACTGGTCTTTCATGTCTGAGTTATGTAGCTGTGAGGTTTTCTATAGATAGAGGCTGGCAAATGACATAAACTGCTGCTTAGGGAGGGGCAAGGTGACCTCTGGGATTGTTGCCTTTTGGTTTAAAAAAAAAAAAAAAAAGAGGTTTCTGTTTAAAAGAGGAATGGAGGAATGCACGTCTTGTGCAGAGGTGAGTGAGCCCTGCCGAGGTGAGGGGAGCCACCTGATGGGTGGCACTCGGGAGCTGAGCGTGGCAGGCGGGAGCTGTGGGAATTGAGGGAAAGCAGAGGCATTGTTTTGCTGCGAGTTACCATTCTGGTGGGCTGGGCGAGAGTTTGAGTGGCCAGAGTGCCACTGACCAAGCTTGGGAGTGCGGGGCTCTGGCTGACCCCAGTTTAAGTATATCTGTGAATAAGCAGAGCAACGGAGCTCTGAAATCTCCTCCTGCAAGTTGCTGTTTTTTGATCAGACTCCTGGCTGACTTGGTATCTTTGGGCTTTGCATCCTGGGAGTCTTCCCCAGGATTTTTAATTTCTCTCTGACTTCGGTTCAGGGCTTTGCAGAGTTCAGTAGCTACTTTCTCTGTCTCATTTTTTAATTATATGTGGTTTTGTTTAAGGAATGCAAAAGATCACTCCATGTTTCTGTATTAATCTGGAAAATCTATTGCCACTTCCCCATTTTCTTCCCTGTAAAAAGTGAACTGCAGAAATTTGTGATTTCTTTAGCATGGTAATGTAGATGCTGTTACTTTACATTTCTCTTTGATACTCAGATGCTGGAGGTTAAAGTAACTCATCAGAGAGAGAGAGAGATATATTCTAGTAGGACTCTGCAGAGTTGGGCAGTGCTGTTTGTTCCACTTGGCAGATGGGAGAGTGAAATTGCTTTATTGGGATCTTGTAAAAGTTTCGTGGCAGAGGAGGAGTCTGAATGCACCTTTCCCGGTTCCAGATGAGTGCCTTCAGCTCTGGCCTCACCTTCAGGGTCATTTCAGCAAGGGATGCTGTTTGGTCAGTCTTTGAACTCCATTTTCTCTTCTGCTGAAGCTTCAGATGAAGATCATGGCTGAGTTTCAGATTCTTTGCATAGCACCAGCTCTAAGTTAGTTTAACATCTTGTTTCTGGGTATCGCTATAGTGTGTGTGCTTAACTTCCGGTCCCTAAAGCCGCTCCCAGATGCCTTATGGCTTCTTAGAGTGTATTCCTACTGCTGTGTCCCAGCTGTGACTTGTGGAAAATGGGTGCCAAAGATGTCTTTTAGTGACCACTTCAGAGTTGTGGGGAGCTGATGTGGGAGATGGCCATTTTTTGATATGAGCTTTGTCTTTGTGCATTTTCATTATCTCTTTTCATTCTGCTGGAAATACCGTGGAGTTTGGCGATTCCTGGTTGAACCAGACACACCAAGTTGGTGTTTGCGTGAGCACTGACAGGTATTTCTGCCAGTGTGCAGGTGGCTTTGTGAAACAGAACACTGGGAAACAGTGAGGTCTGGGGTTCACTAGCCTCGGAGTTGGCCAGGTCCCAGGCCCCAAGGTAGATGATGTTTCTTTTAGAGGAGATAGGGGAGCTCTCACCCTTTTCTCTTTCCCAACACAGTGGAGGAAGGTATATAGTGGCTCCTATGGCCAGCAGCTGTCTTTCAGATCTGGGGGTATGCAGGAGCGCACTCTTTCCCAGCTGATTTGTGAGTAGAGGCATCACCATGGTGGTCCAGGCCCTGTGATCTCTCAGGCCAGTTTGAGGATGGCTCAGTCTAGCAAGAGAGAAGCATGTATTGTCAGAAGGATGTTTCTTCTTATAGTCAGCATTTTTTTCCAAGTGCTTTTTGAGGAAACTTTGAGCTTGGCAAGGGCCAGTGTGTGTGGAAAGTATTAAAATCTGCAGCTGTTTCAAAAAGGAAAGACCCACATTAGAAATATATATAGCATTTTAAAAGCAAGTTTAGTGCCCTGGAAAGGATTTCTAAAACGAACTAAACCCTGTGGATCAGTAAGAGTATTTATTTTGTGCTCTGTAGTAGCCTGGCAGTGTACAGTTAACACTGTGTTTGTGAATTAATTGATACTCATTGATGACCTGACTCTGTTACAAACCTGAGTTGCACTGAGACCTCTGGTATGTTAAAGCTGTGTCATTTTTCTGGCATCAAGATACAGAATAACCTGTCTTGCAAGATTGTCAGACCATTTGTTTCCTTTGTTTTAACTGTGTGTTTATCGCATTGGGCTCTCTCAGCAAGAAGTGGGTTCCGGGGGGCTGTTTCTTGGGGACAGAAGTAGGTTTCTCATGGTATTGAGGCATGACATAGCACTGTTTGCAGTTCCTAGGCAATGCCTTCAATCAGTAATTTGGGGCTGAACCCTCAGCTTTGACTTTTCTGCCTTTTCTCTTTCTAAGCTGCAGTTTTTCAGATTATTTTCATGTAGCTGTTGGTATTCAAAATCTGTCCTTGGTGAAGGAACTAAATGTATTTGACAAAGTAGAATGAAGTGCATGTGGATTAAATACATACCCCTATGTATGCATAGTATGTGAGTGAGCATATGGGACTATGTATGCTGGTATGTCAACCTAGTTATAAAGCAGTTAAAGAAAAAAAAAAAAAAAAGCAGTGTGCGTAGACAGTTTTGGCACTCCAGCCCTGGGAAATGGCAGCCAGCCAGAGAGTACTGAGGCAGGGCCAAGACTATCTGAAGAATATCAAATGCTGAAGTTGGATATAGCTCCTTCTTCGCTCTAGTTTGACTCTTCACCTTGTGGGCCTGCAGCTTGCCAGCTCTGTACCAGGTAGATGCTGATCATTTCACAAGGCAGAACTGGAGATAGGGACGGATACACTGTGGTGTGTATGTGCTTGTAATTACCCACGACGGAAATCTGACCTCAGTGAGTTTAACTGTTACGCTCCCCGAGTCATTGTTAAACTTTGAAATACTCATTCACTCATAAGTTATTTATCTTTTTTGGTATTGTGATAGCACTGGAGACAAGGATAAAGCCACACCCCAGTGTGAATTATGCATTGTGACAGTTTAATCCTGTTAAGTTTGCTTGCTTACGTTGAATGAATTTGTTAAGCACTTCCAGCAGAGGGCACTAAGATTATTGATCTCAAACTCCAGTCTTTTTTGGTATGGGTATATAGTGGAAGAGCATAAAAGATGCCTGTAAGTAAAACGTATGCTTCCCCCTCTCCCTCCTTGTTTTGTAGACTATCATAAAAGAGGGGATGCTGATGAAACAGACCAGCTCTTTCCAGCGCTGGAAGAGACGATATTTTAAGCTGCGAGGACGAACGCTCTACTATGCAAAAACTGCTAAGGTAAGGTCTTGACAATACATGTGAGTCCAACGGAAGAAAGTCAGTGGTGGAACTTTTGGAGGTAGATGGGTGTCTGTAAGAAGACAGCCCTCAGTAAAGAACATGTGCTCTGAAAACACCTGTCTTCAGGTTTTGAGGCTACTAGAAGATCCCTCTGGTTTGCCTCACACTTGGAAATCCTTGGTTTTTAAGTAAAGCATCATGCAGACCTGTGATTCTGATTTTTCCGCATTTTTAACCCCCTTGGTGCATTTTAGTAGGGAATGGGCTCTGAATCAATAGAAGCGGAAAGAGAAGGGAGAAAATATGAATGAAAAGAAGAAATGGAGGAGACAAGCAAGGCTAGAATTTATCACATCAGAGCTGCCATGTGTCTGGTTTAGTACGTTGATAGTCAACTAGATATAAATCTGTCTCCTTTCAGAAGAACAAAGCCTACAATTTTTTTTTTTTTTAACTAATCCCTTAATAAAAATAAAGTCATCGCATTCACTGGCTGAAGACAGGCAAGTGCGAGCACCGCTGTATGGAACTAGACTTCCAAGTCCTTCACATTGCTGGGCCTTTCCTTCAGATCACAAAAGGCTGTGATGTAGTGTGCTTGACATACAGGCATGTCCCTTTGGGTCTGCTGCTTATACATTGGATTCAATAATTCATTGGGGTTTTGAATTTTTTCTTTCCAGTCCATTATTTTTGATGAGGTGGATCTGACAGATGCCAGTGTGGCAGAATCCAGCACTAAGAATGTCAACAACAGCTTCACGGTAGGATTTTTTGCATTATATTGTATTCTTCTTGGATCTTCCCCCCACAAACTTCTTCTGTAGTTTAAAAACATCTGAAAAAAATTCACAGCCTCTTTCACTAAAAAAAAAAAAATAAAAAATCATAAACTTATTTTTCTTTGCAGCAATCGTAACTCATCTCCATGCACATGGGAAATACCTTGGGTTACTATGTATAGTGCTAAAACTTTACATTCAGGGATTTTCTTATCTATAAGCTAGGAGGGTTTGATAGATCCATTTACACAGTGGGACAGAAAAATTTGTTCTGCTGAGGGAGTTAGGGGCGATGTTGATGTTTATGCTGGAGATTTCGCTAAAGGAATTTAGTTTTCCCTTCCGGCCTTAAAAAATGTAAACTTCTTTCTCTGACTTTATTTGTATGTGGCTGTATGTGTGTTTATATATGCACACTATATATAGTTGCAAAGCAAAAGGAGAAACAAAAGTCACACAAATAACTGTGGAATTGGTTTAGGATACTTGTTAGATGTGGAATATGTGCTAAATATTTGCAATCTGGAAACGTGGTGTCACTGCTTCATTTTCTCCAGGCTAAATAACTGGGAGAAAAAATGATTGTATTTCTGAGGTGCAGGTGTTCCCCAAGCTCCATTTTGGTGGAAATGCCTGGTGTGCAGAAAAAAGCCATTAATGGCAGCCATGCAGGGCGAGTATTAGGCAACAGTGTGAGCTTTGGAGTTGGCTAACAGCAATAACCTCCATGCAGCCTCTGAAGGGCTCAAAAGAGAGGAGGGTGTGGAGAAAGGAGGCAGTGTCAGTCTAAGGCAAGGTGAAGAGGGGAGCAATCCAGGTGGAGGGAGGAAGCTGATCCTGCAGGATGGTGACCTGCAGCTGGTGACCAAGACTGAGCAGTGTGCCTTGCTGCAGTAACGACCCGCTGCTGTCAACATCTAGCAAAGGATGTTTCTATTATGTAGCTGTAGCTTTTTGCTTTGCCTGAGCAAAGTACCTATGGGATCCACCATATGCCCAGATAAAACCCCAGCACTGTCTCAAAGTTTGAAAATACTTTCTGCCTTGATAATTGGATAAGTAGGAGGTCAATTTGGGTCTGATAGTAAATATCGATATCGGGTGTCAGTGTGTGTGTATAGAGAGAAGGATTCTGCAATGATTTCAGTAGGGGATATGTTTTCAAGCATGTGAAGTTATTTACCTGTTAATAAAGCATTTCCTCTTGGGTCTTGCTTCAGTTTTCCCATATGTAAATACAGACTGATTTTTCAGGTAAGCAAATGAACTGTTACTGTTTTGCTTATTATTATAGTTGGGAGAGATGTAATCTCTGTCAGAGACACTGGATGTTGGGACAGGAGGAAGTAGTGTTTTTGCGCTCTCAGATTGTCCCAGGTCCAGCAGTGAAGAGTTACTTCCATGACTATGATATCAGGCTCTGCCAGTTCCTGCTTTCCCTAGAGGCTATTAAGTATAGGATTACTGTGACACTCAAGTAGCAGATACAGTTTGAACTGTCTCCAGCTGATCATGGGGCTCAGGTAAACTTCAGGAAAAGCACCTCTTCTCGTAATTTGCCTACTCTGTCTATCATGGCTTACAGAGGGGTTTGACTGTGGTTTACCGTGAGCTATAAAAATACTTAGAAAATCAGAAGGTTGCCTGTTCTTGCTGCTGTTTGGTCTGCCACATGACTGCTGTCAGTGCTTTGGATTCCTTGCAGTCTTGCCATTTTCTCTTGGTTTTCTTTGAGAGCACTCTGTTTCCTCCCTGTATCTCCCCAGCTCAGTTCATTTCTAAAATTGAGTTCTTTTCCTGTTTCAAATCATTGGGACTCACTGCTGAGTTTTTATCCTAAACCACAAACATCCAACATTTGGTGTTGTATAGCAGAGACAGTTATTCTGGAGTTTTAGATGTTCTGATTTTCTTTTTGTTTCTGTGTTTTCTTCAACGGAGACTGGTAGTTTTGGATTTATGAAAGAGCGGTTTCTTTCTGAGGAAACTCATCCTCTGTCCAGGCATCCGTACTGCTTAATGTATAGATTCTGCAGGCCAGGTTGGGTGAATGTCACTCCTAAGGTACTAACAAAGGAGGTGGGAAACAAAAACACTAGGTAAACCACTTAGAGGAGCATTGTGGGTCCAAAGCAAAGATGTAATAAGGGGTGAACACTCAGAAGAGAAACTGGCAAAAAGGCAGTGAGGAATGTGGGGAGGCAGCACTATGAGGGAAGAAAACCAGAGCATGGAGACAACAAAGGTTATGTTGCATAAATAGAGAAATAAGGTTAAAAAATATAGCTGCCAGTAAACCTTTTACATAGGACATAAGTGTGAGAGCTAATTTGCTTGCTGTCAGCAGGCAGGAGAGAGAGAAATGTGGGTATTAAGATGCAGACCTCTTCCTCTAAAAAGAAGAGTGTATAATGTGGGTTCCACTGTTGTTTCCTTAGTTCATCTTGCATAGATTTCTTCAGTGAGTGTATCCTGTTTGCAATGGGGACAGTTTTCAGGACTGCTACCCAGAGTTAATGGATATGTGACTATGGAATGGGCTTGGGAGCATGTGACTAGGAGCATCTTTAAGACATTGTACAGCTCCGTCCCCCGAGAGGTGTAAGGAAAAGCTTTATGTTTAGCTATTGTTCCTTTAGGTCAGACAATGTGACTGCAGAGTTATTTAGCAGGAAGCCTCTGGGAACAAATCATGTAGCAGCCCCATGCCAGGTGTCTCATCTCTCAGGAGGACTGTAGATGTAATATTTACTGGTTCTGTCACACCTCTGCTATCTCTGTCTTTCTAAGTCATCTGTCTACAAGGTAAATTCTTTTGGGATGTCTGGGCTGTAAGTGACTAGTTCTTTCCATGTATGATCCCTTAGTACCTGGTTTATAGATCTCTCACTAGTGGATTTTCCTAGGCTGCTGCCTTTCACAGGGCCTTAGAGAGGATCTGCTGTGCTACAAACTCACAAAGAGGGTGGTCAACTTTTAGCCTGGATTCTTGCCATCAGTGTGTGCCTACATTTGTACTCCTTATGAAACAGAGATCAGCAGCATTGCATGGGTGAGATCAAAGCCTGACCCTAACTTCTGAGTAGAGCTTTCCCAGCCATACCCTCAAAGCCTCTTGTGATTTCTATAAAGTAGATGATTTGGGATCGCACTGGGCACATTGGGTCTTCCCAGTGAGACTTCAGCTGTTTCCGTGAACAGTTTTTTCTTGGACAGCGCAATTTTGCAGTAACTTGATTGGTTGATGTGCCTGTCTAATGCATTAGCCTGCAGTTGCTTTAGGAGCATTGAAACAAAATATGCCATGAGGATGAGTTCCATACTTCAAACCTGGAACAGTTTTTTCTCTAGATCATGCCAGGAAGCCTGGGTTTTGGAGATACTTCTCTCAAAATGACTGCTTTACCTGTGTCATGGACCTGAACCATCCATCCAGCATGCCCATTCTCCGCTACGAAGCCTGTAAGGTTGGCGGGGGCACCAGTCTCTCTATTGTCTGTTGCTCAGGCCAACACTTTGCCACCACAGCTATCCCCTCAAGTCTTTGAAAGGACTTTGGGTCATCTCCTTAGGCCCATTTTTGTGAATGTTTGTGTGGTGAACAAATCCTTACTCCTCAGGTTGGTGTGCTGGCTGAAGATCTGCTCTTTTCTAGAAGATGCCAACTGAATTAAGCCTGCTGCCTTCAGTGCAATTGGCACAGCTGATGGAGTGAGTCCTTATCAATTCATTGACCCTTTCCTGCCTTGTGCAGGATTTGTATAAAGCTAAAGGGGAAAAAAAAATCTAAAATATATGTTCTTTAATAAAAAACACCTGTCATCAACAGGAGAGGGCCTAGGAAGGACATCACATCTTTTCAGGTACATATTTTGTGTGTCAATGTGATTCTCACATGGTGCTTTTGTAAATGTTTTCCAGCAAGTGGTGGTGTGGACTTTCACCCTCATTCACATAACGTGGATTACAACATTCAATTCCCATCCCATCTTATTCATAGCTTTGAGATCCAATAGGAGAAAACTCCTCTCTGTGTAGAGAGATGTGGGTAGTTTGATTTCTTCTTTCTGATGCTTTAGTGGAAGTGAAGCTCGGTCAGAGCATGTTGCTGAGCACCAGGAGCCATGCTGTTGACCCCTCCTCTGCAGTTAAAGGCTCTTCACTGGAAGAGGTGGAGCTTGAACTCCTGAGCTCCTGTAAACCCTTTTCTGCTGGGAAGTACCTCTCAGCTCAGCCGCAGACAGGAAACAGCATGTTATTACAGTCAGCGCCTGCCTCTCCACTTCACTGCCGTCAGAAGGAAACTTATCCCAGCTCCTCCTTAAGCAGACAGCTAATCAGCTTGTGGCAAGTGGAACATAGCTCAGAAAGACTGATCACAGAGGGGACTAACGCTATTAATTGTATGTCAAGCAGTCTGTTTAGGTTTTTTCTGAGGGAGTAGGCTGCTCTGGACACTAGTTTAGAGGAAGATTGAACATGAAAGGTAAGAGCAGGGGTCCGAGTTTTCTGGACTAAGCATTGAGAAACATGGCACCTGTGCCAGCATAACAGGTCATCAGGAGCTCAGGTTCTTTGGAATAAGTTTGCTACAAGCTCTTGCTTTTCAGGTGTTCTCTCCTGTGTGGATTTATGTAGATAAGTTCTCCAGAATCAGGGTAAAGGGAAATGTGCCTGCAGTGCTGTTGGAAATGCTGCACCCATCAGTTAAGAAATACTGTTTATTAACTGATGATTCACCCTAACCAATGTCACAGGAGAGAGGAAGTATTGAGATTAGAGTAATACCTCTCTTTCAGAGCACTTGCATGACTGGAGGCAACAATGGTTGTGGTAGGTTGAGGAACAGGGAATTGCTGGTGCTCCTGAACGAGAGCATGCTCTCATCTCAGCGAAGCAGTATGGATGTCATTCTCCAGCTGTACGGAAGCCTGAGGTGTGCTACAATTTTTGTTACTATAACCTTGTTACTTAGTACTGAC